GGGATTTTGATTTGACTTCAACCTGGGTGGCAATACATCGCTATAGCGACAAATTATAAAGCCTTTATTACAAAATTATTTCATTATTAGCTCTATAAACTACCTAACATTCATATGAATTTATTGCTAGCATTTTATTCTTATAATAATTGGCAAATATATTTGTGAGTTTAATTAATTAAATTATTCTAAATATATGGGTGCTTTTCAATAAAAAGGTGAAGTTGTTAGTAACTTTTTTTAAATTTTAAATTAAAATATCTCAATAACTACTAAATTAAATTTAATAAATTTTTTTTTTAATTTTATAAAATTTAAATAAAAAAATTATTAAATTTAATTTAATAGTTGCTGAAATATTTTAATTTAAAATTTTATAAAAAGTTACTAAAAACTTTCCCCTTTCCTATTGAAAAGCTCTCATATACTTATTTTGCAATAATGCACTTTTTGTAAATAAACTTATTTGACTACATAAAATAACACTAGTCTCTAATAATTTTATAATCCAGTAGTTGGATTTTAATATCTAATTTGTTAGAATCGTCTCATTGAGCAAATCATTTTGATAGTTAAATCATTCAAACGGGTTAGAAGATCAAGTGTTATTCATAATTAAAAATAAATTATTAATAATTTTAATTGGTCAACTAATACATCATATAACTTGTTATGACTGTTTAATTATAATTAGACAGCATTAGCTGTATATACACTCTCCTGACAAAAGTCACCGCCTAATGATCATTTTTGGTGATGATCGGTAAATGGATAGTAATGTTTTAACCGATTTTACAAAAAAAATCAATAGTAGTTTTTTAAAAAAATTTTTTAAAAAAATGTAGCCAAATTCATTTAGTATTTATTTATATATTTAATATTTTGTAGGGTATTCTTTAGCCTGTTTTAAAGCATGAACATGATCAGGCATGCTATTAATCAATTTATAATAAACAGATTCATCCAAATTATACTACTCTTCTTCTAAAAAGGAAAATAGCTCAGTCTCACTAGTTGGCAGTGGAACATGCCCATGAACCTGGCATTTCAATTCATCTCAAAGGTGCTCAATAGGATTGAGGTCAGGGCTCTGTGCTGGCCACAGAAGATGGGTGATCAGATTTTCTTGAAACCAGTTTTTTACTACCCGTGCATGATGGATTGAAGCATTGTCATCTTGAAAAATATATTCTAAATTTGGATCAAGAATATCTAAAAATAGTAACAAATGAGTTTCCAAAAGCTCAATGTAATCTTTTGAAGTCTGTCAGCCATTAACTCGAATTAACGGACCCAAACCATCCACAGTAAAACATCCCCATATCATCACTCTTTTTCTACCTGACTTAAAAGTTGGTACAAGGAAATTTACATTATATTTTTCATGAGGTAAACACCAAACATAAGTATGACCATCACCTCTATATATCTCAAAATGGGATTCATCACTCCAAACAATGGTATTCTACTCAGAAGTCCAATTCAAACGTTCCTTTACCCAAGCCTGATGATTCTTTTGATTTGGTTCACTAATGAATGGTTTTCTTTTACCAAAATGAGCATAGTAACTCTCTTCATGAAGGTATCGTTGCAGTGTATGTGTGGAAACATTTACAGAGGTTGATTGCAAAAATTCATTTTGCAAAACATTCAAATTAGCTTTACAATTACTTTTTACAATACAAACTAAGTGACATTTATCATAATCATTTAATACAGGTGGCCTTCCACTCCGATTAGGAGGTTTTATTTCACCTGTTTGTTAATACAAGTTAACTACATCTCAGACTGTTGTTCTTGCAAAATTAAGGGTGCTTGCAATAGTAGGAACTTGAGAACCACATCTCCAAGAACTAACTATTTGATTTCATTCGCCTTCAAATAATTCTTTACGTTTTTGTGACATTTAAGAAAAACTACAAACATAATTACAAATTTTCTTTACATTTTTAAAAACTACAGGTGTTGAACTATCTAACCATATAGGTATTCACAATGTATCTGCTAACAATTACAAACAAACAGATTTTCAACAAATCTTTTCGCTTGCTGATCATCACCAAAAATGATTGTCAGGCGGTGACTTTGTTAGGGGAGTGCACAGTTAATATATACTTGTAAATCAATCTTAATGAGCCATCAAGTAACATAGTCATGCCACAAAAATTTGTTGGTGATGTAATATCTGAGCTAATCGGATCAAATTCAGGCCGGGTGTCGATTTTAACATCGACAGTAGATTCTACTGTTGATGTTAAAATCAATACTAGCACCTTGATTTGATTAGCTCAAATATTACATCACCGACAAATTTTTGTGTCATGACTATGTTACTCTAAGAGATCCAGGGTAGTATGGTGCAGGACATCTTATCACTTCATAGCTGAAATTTGGAACATATATATATGGTGCTGAATTTTAACAATTATATATATAATAATGCTGAATTTTAAAAAATTTTATAATAATTCAATAGTGCTAAAATTTTAAAAAGAGCTCGAATAAATACAGCAATAAAAAAAAGTGCTGAATTTCTAACCTTTATTAATAAAAATTAATGTGTTTTTAAATGAAAATAACATTTTAATAAGAAGTTTTTTTTTACAAAAAAAACTATATTTATATTCTTTAGGTTTAAAGAATTTAATTATAAAAAGATTTTTAAAAAGCATTATTGGTTAAAAAGTTATTAAAGTATTATTACAAACAATTATTTTGTGATGTCCTGCACCATACTGTTCTTTTTCGTGTTAGGGTAAGATTAAGTAGTAAAAGTAATTTTGGTTTGACTAAGTTTTTCTTTTACAAACTTATACGTATTACAATGATTTCTGCACGCTTGCCTAATTTGCACTTCCGTACAGTACTATTTTACTATATCTCTAGAAAATGATCATTTTATTTTTCAAATAGTATGTATATTTGTTTATAATAAGATTTTAAATTCATTAATATGCCGAAAAAATAAAATTCTAATAATTTTGATTTCAACGAAATTCAAATTATCCTCTTATAGAAACTGATCAAATCAAATGGGTACATTAGCACTATAAAATGAATTCAACTATTTCTGAATATAATATATAGATGGAAAGAATCTAATCCTTCAGTGTAAAATAGAGATATAAATTATAAATTATACTTTATTTAAATTATTAATCATGCTTTATTTACAAAAATTTACTGACATATATTTTTGACCGCATTCTTGAAAAACATTTGATCTTCCACAATAAAAAATATTAACATTAAAAAATATTGCTTCAAACTTCATATTGAATTAAAAAATAATAAATGATAAAATGATATAAAGAAATTGAAATATAAGAGTCTTTATGAATGTGAAATGGATGAAATAAAAATATATTTTATTGCCTAAATAAATAATTGTGTTGAATACATCTTATTTTCAAAAAATTAAATTAAATTAAATTAAATTAAAAATAAAAAAAATAAAAATTGCATAAGGACATATTCCATAAACAATAAGCACTTCCAAGTATATTAATAGGTAAATATTAATAGCCGAAAGTTAGCCTTATTTCGCATAATTTTTTTTTGAAAAAAATTTTCTTCAGAATATTTTCGAATGCATTTGACTCTTTACTTCATTGATTATGCATTCGTTTTAACCGTCAAATACGGGAGCTTAATTTCTCCCCACATTTCCATTTCTGATTCTTACAAAGTAAATTATACAACTTTTCGCTGCCAATTATAAAAAATGAAAAAATTGTTGACTAACGTGGAAAGATCTACAAAAAAATCACATCAAGACAGTATTTTTACTAGTAAATTCCACAAGTTTTGGTCAAAAAATAAACATAATTTTGTATGAAAAATAAGCAAACTAGTATTTGACCTATTTATATATAGCTCGGATCCTGATTGTTGGTTAGTTGGCTGTCAGTGAAACAAATTTTATCACTGAATTTTAGTAAAGTATATCAGTCGTCAATAAATAAATATCAGTAAAACAAACAAGTCGCCAATTAGAATATAGATGCACCGAGATTTTTGCGAAGCGAACGGCACCGGCTCTTGACTTAATAAAATTCCTGGTATGTGGCTTTATTTAAGTATACAGAACAGAAGCCTCTTTGTAAACAAATAATTAAGCATCTGTGTTTAAGATTTTGGTAAATACGGATGCGACCCTCAGTTTTTTAATTTTACTATGAAAGAAAAAAAAGTTATTACGAATTAAATAATGGAAGAATATGAAATTATAATTGATGTTTTTAATCGTCCTCCATCCGCTACTGGCAGGAATGAGAAATACGTCCAAATCGTTTGTTCACCTCAAATGAAATATGTAGCTACTATTACACATATGGATGCAGCTACAGGTGAATTACAGGATGGTGAAGATGATCAATTATTTAAAGAAGCGACTTTATGGTCAGTAATTAAAAAATCTGATGAGTCTGATGAGTTGGCTTTGAATCGCGAAAATTCCATTAAGGGCATCAGATAACTGAACCAAGACCTAAATTATGGGCTGTTTCAGACAATATGTATATCGTCTTTAAGACAGGCTATTTTTATTATAATTTCGGTTAGCAGATTTTATACCTTGCTTTTTTCTTTTATTTCACCGTTTTTACTTATTAACGTTTATCAATTATATTATTATCGAAAATTAGAAGTATTCGATGGTAAGGAAGGGGTGCGTAAAGAACTCTACTTTCCTAACACTCACAATGTAGTAAACCAACTTGCTTTCGTCCAAAATGGAGATTTAGTAATTGCTTTGGTTGAACCTGTACATTGCATATATGTATTTAAATTGGACCAATATAACGAATGGGTTTATTCTTCTAAATTTGAAGTAACTCATTTTTACGAGGCTTTCATTACTGTCGAAGGAAAATTGATATTATTCGACGACAAGATATATCAATTAACTAAATGGGATATTAGCGATATTAGCAAACTTTCATTTGAAATAAATTGTTTGATCGATTGGTGTTATAAAGTTAAGCATGTAGAAATAAATGAAGGTGGCGAATTTTTAGCAGTTCATGCTGCTTATGTGCAGGGTGAAAATGAAACTACCAAGAAATCTAGAATTTATGTTTTTTCTCTTAAGAGTGGAATGAATATGGCTTTTCGTAAGTTTATATTTAAAATTAAATAGTAATTTACATCATATTTTATAACTAAATATTTTCAACTTAAAAATATTTCAATTTTTATCAAAAGATGAATATGATGATACAATAATTATAGATAAAATCTACTTTATTGCTTATGACGCAGGAGAACGTCTACTTATTATATCACGCAACCAGTTTGAAGATGAATCCACTGCTCACTTAATGGATCCATGTTCCCTTAAAACTCGTGTTCCTGCAGCAAAACTATTTGAAACTGACGTGGAAATTCAAGACCCCTACATAATCAAATTCGATAATGTTATCGGAATAATAAATAATGAGGTAGCAATTTATAGTGGGCTGGTTCGAAAGGATTGGATAAAATATCTACGGGAGGATCTTGGAGATCATAATAGGATATTTGTACTTTCTGATTCTAAATTTATTACGGAAATGATTAAGGAAGAATTATCATCTGATGAAAAACATTTCACAAATTCATTATTCCAATCAGAAAAAAACAGTAACAGCATTCCTTATCGCGGCAGTTATTTGAAATGGAATTTATATTATACGCCCAATGATAAACCCAAATCCGTTCCTAAACTTGAACTTGAAGCCTTATTCTATGATAAAGATAAAGCTGAGTGGTTACCAGTAGAGGGTTGCTCTAAAAGAATAATAAACCCTAATTTCCCACCCCCAGAGCATACGAGAAAACTAAAAATTATACGATGTGAATGTCTTAAAAATGATGATTTACTAATGTTAACTACACTTGGTATTTTAATTTGGACTGTTTATCCACCAAAAGGAATTAGATTACATTATTATTGGGGGAGAGGAAAGATTAGAAATGAAAAAAATTTTAATTTAGGAAAAACTTTCCTCGGAAAAACTTTCCTCGACTTAGAATCATATTCCAAGACATTTCCTGATTCAAAGTTTCAGATCATAATCAAAAATAAAACCTTGAAATTTGGCAGTGTCAGTGAAGAAAAAAAATCTTATTTTTTTAAAGAATTGCTAGAGGACTATATCTCTGACAAATTTTTCATAATCAATTATGGTCCAATTTTAATGGAAACATTTTTATTTTTAAAAGAAGACGAATGGGTTGAAAAATTGTGTAAAGCTTGCCATGACTTAATTTTCACAGTCGATGGTCTGAAATCTACCTCAGATATTCAGTTATTATCCATCATAATTGAAGTCTTTCCTCAGTTATTACAGAGGCATCCAATATATTTAGCTAGATTTTTGTCCCAAACTGCATTTGTGTTGCCGTTAGCTGATCCCGAGTTGATATTAGATAGTGAAATTGTCAGTTTATCATCTGAACAACATTTATATCATTTTGGAACTTATAATAATTTAACAGAAAAAACTTCTTTAATTGACGTTTTTATTTCAAAAATTACTAAATGTTGGAATAAAATTAGAGGAAAATCCGAAACCGAAGAAGTAACTCCTCACCCATCCACCAATGGCGGCCAGAGTGTTATTTCATATTCTGAGGCTACAATCAAACTTCTGATTCCTCTTCCAAAGTTTGTCAATTATCCCAAAAATTATATCTTTTGGGATGAGCTGAAAAACCCTTCACCAAGTTTTTTCACAAATTCAATAGATCTAGAACTATATAAATATTGGAATGGAGAAGCTTTAATAAACTTTAAATGGAATACTTATGGATTAAAATATTATTTAATTGCTTGGTCTGTTTATACAGTGTTTCTTTGTTGTTATACTAGCGTGGTTACTTTGAGTGAGTTTTTGACAGCATGGGAACAACAATTTCTGCTGTGTGTGGCAATTGGTTTGGGAATTTTACATTTAGTTCACGAATTTAGACAACTCATTCATTCTCCTGATGAATATATTAAATCACCTTGGAACTATTTTGGTAAATTATCATAATTTATTTAAGATTAAATAAATTTAAATACTTTACTAACTTATTAAATGCATCAATAATGATTTTAATTAGATATAGGAGCAATAACGTTTACAATATTAACATCCGTCGTCTGGATCCGAAATGGCACAGCTGCCATATGGGCAACAACTATTGCTACTTTATTACTTGAATTAAAATTTCTTTTCTACTTTCGTGCTTTCAGATTTGTTGGTGTATATTTTGCAATGATATTTGGTGTCGCAAAAAGAGCTTTCTCTTTCTTGACAATTATTGCATTTGTTGTATTTGCTTTTGCCCATTCTTTACACTTATTATTAAGACCTAGTGCTTCGTATTCGTTGGATGAACCAAGTTATTCATCGGATCCAAATGATCCGTGGAATTTAGCATCAACATATAACCCTGTTAGTGAAGATGGAATTATTTCAACTCAGCCATCGCTTATTGCGCCACCATCCGCAAGTACTAATATGTTCAATATGTTTGGAACTTCGATTTTGGGGGTTTATCTAATGCTTACTGGTAATTATTTTCTAATTATAATTATAGTAATAAATTTATTTAATGAACTTAATAATAATTTTGATTAATTTTGTAATCATTGATTAATTTAATAATTATTTTATTAATTTCTGTTTACAGGTGATTCTTCTCCAATATCTTCTTGGGATTTAGAAGAAAACTTCACTTTGATCATTTTAAGTTTTTCATTTTCATTTTTTACGACTATTTATTTCATGAATTTGTTTATTGGGTTGCTTTCTAATGAAATTTCGGAAACAAATAATAATGAATCTTATTTAATTCAAAAAGCCGAAGTATTTAAAAAATTTTCCTTATTTAAATATTCACAAAAAAATATTTATCATAAATTTATTTATTGTTTATATTTTTATATTTGATATTAGATTTTGGCAGAAATTGAATTATTTTATATGCTGCCTCATCAAAGAAGGAATAAGGATTGGTTTCCAGAAGTAATGTAGGTCATTCAATTTGTTGCATATATTTAATTTAAAAAACTAAACACACATATTATCAATTGTAGAATTTATATAGCTCATGTAAGCGAACTTCGTGACTTAATTCGTGAAATTCAAATTGGAAATTGGCAGGGATTTGAAAAGCCAGTTCTTTCCCAAACACTGTTAAAAGCTATACAAGCTGAAAATCTAGAAGAAGAAGATAAAACTAATCCAGAAGAAGAAAGCATTAAAAAGTTGGAAAACGAGATTAAATCATTGAAAGAAAAGATTAATCAGTTAATTAATATAGCAGAACAAGCTACGTGATATAAATGTAAATTCACTTTACCATATTCATGCATTTGATAATTATTTATATAGGAAGTCATATAACACTGTTACAGTATGAATTTATATATTATAAAAATTGAATTTATTCCATATGTTATGTTTAAGGTTGGATTCGAATTTATTATGCAGATTTAAATATTCAAATTTGGTTTGAATTCAGATTTCTCTGCTCACCACATTTGTTTACATTTCCAAAATTCCTGACGCCACTAAACAACTGGGGTCAAACAAATTTTCGATTATATATGATTTAGTCACCACGTCCTACAATTTTACGTAACAATGGCTATTAAAAAATGATAAATAGGAGTTATGAATCATCGTTTTTTGTTTTTATGTTATACCAATGTGTTAATCTTCATAAGTGCAATTCTATAAATGCACACACTCTATATATGCACGCTTAGGTCTGGTACCATGCACGCGTATGAGCTATTTTGGCCTCCATATATATTAATAGATCTCTCTAAATGCTCACCACGTGATTTTGATACAGGCTCGAATTTAAAATTTTTGTTACTGAAATAATAAAAAATTTTTTGTTAAATTGGTACATATTGGCGATAAAATGATATTAAGCTAAGCGATATTGATCTCTAAGTAAAATTGTTCGTAATAATTTGTTTTACATACTCAGAAAATTATATAATTTTTACGAACATTTTTTTATTACAGTCAGACCTCTTTAAGTACACCATCAATAAGTGCACACCCTCTTTAAATACATACTCAAATTCTGACCAAATATATACTTGACCTCTATAAATGCAATTTTAAATTATTCGCTAAATGCACATTATTAAAGTGTGGTCTCGAGGGCGTGCACTTAGAGAGGTCTGACTATAATACGTTTTCAAGTTTTACTCGTTTGGGAGAAAAAATTTAAAATTTTTGCGCCAAAACGTAAAACCTAAAAATGTATTAATAAAAATTTAATAAAATTTTGACTTTAATATATAGCAACGATTATAGTTTAACAATTTATTTTTTTATATGCATGAAAGTGGTTAATCGGTGAATTCTATATATGCGGGTCATTCTCATGACGCATTAGGATATTAGGTCAGCTATGGATCAAACTTATGTGTAGTTAGAGTTCCAATCAGGATGTAAAATAGCTATTCATTTTTGGCCAACATCAGCAAGCTGTTTTTTTATAAACTTTATGTAGTTCTATAAAGTTATATAAATATTATATAAATGTTTATATACTGTAGGTCTACAAACCCAACGTAGACTTATATAATAAGAATTTTATATGTAAACTACGTAATTTTTATATTAATTTTATTTATTATATATATAAACATAAAATCTATGTAAATTTTATTTATATCTATATAAAAATAATTTAATTTACTTCAGCTATTTCTCAAAAGTGACTAAGGTAATCACCGATCGTTGCACTAATTAAAAGCTCAGCATGCTCGAAAATCTTCCCCAAACCCCAATTTAAACTTTAAAATCTAATCCTGACTTTAATGTTTAAGTTAAAAATTTTTTGCCATTTTACATAATTAAATCTACATCGGGTTTATAAAGTTTGTAAAGCTATATAAAAATTTTACATAATTCAGGATAAAAATTCTATGTAATTTTATATAAAAACAACTTCGTGATGAATTAAAACTATTGTTCTTGGTGTAAATTCTTTATATTATTTTGATGTATCAAAAAGACACTTGAAACAATAGGCTGCATGGCCGGTAAATGAATAGGTATTCTCCACACTGGTTCCAATCCATGAATCATTTATCCAGTTATCAATTGGAGATCCAATATTTGATGGATAATTAGATAAAATAGATTAATGAACGAATAACCGAATTATCCAATAAATTATTCGAATTCATTTGAACATTAAAAGTTCTAAAGTAATCAACAATATAAATTCGTTTGAAATTACAAGCTCTAAGGTAACCAATAATATAAATTAGGGAATTCTACTTGCGGGTAAAATAGAATTTTTCTAATTTATATTGTTGATTACTTCAGAACTTTGTAATCCTAATATATCAGATAATTCGGTTAAACCATTTAATTATCTAATTTAAAAAGATAAATATCCGAATATAACATGTCGGATAAATGAACGACGGATTAATCCGGATTGGAACTCTATGTGTAGTTATTCAGTAAATTATAACTAAGATTGTATCATTTGTATATTTATGACAAAGCTAATCAAAATACTTTTATGTTAAAACAATTTAAAATTCTGCAAAAAAAAGCAAATTTTAATAATTAAAGTTTCGAGTATTATTTTGAGATACAATTTAAAAAGATCGAAGAATTAATTTAGACAAAGACTTTCTGTAAAAAAAAAAAATAATAAAAATATTACTCGCCCTGAAGCAAATTTGTCAACATAATTTGTTATAATAAATGTTTTAAGAGAATTTTATGCTAAAAAAAAAATAAAAAAAAAATAAAAAAAAGACATTCGTCCTCTACACCTAAAATTATATTAAATAATTTTTTAATAAAATAAATTACCAACCATTATGTAGGCGTTAAGTTATCAAAAAAAATAAACGATAATAGATTTTACATGAAATGACGCTTGGGAATTAATTGTTAAATTCATTAAATTAGCGTAAATAATGTGGAAAGTGTGAATTACGTACTAGAGGAAAACCATTATCGCGAGTAAATAATGGCGTAGAAATTATTGCAATATCTCCGAAAATATTTCGACATTGATTTTAATATGAAGGTTCCAAAAATAGCTTGCCAATTTAGTAGTGTCGAATTATTTTCAGCAAATTCACTATAGTCATTGTATTTAAGGGAGATAAGGACGTTAGTGGTAAATGGTTAAATGATAGAAGGAGGTCTCCCTATGGCGTGGATAGGATTTTTGTAATTCATGTTTCCTAAGGAGCATTGCAAATTTATTTCTATATGTAAGAAAAACTTGTATAAATTGTATATAAGTGGAAACGGGACTTAAATGAATTTGGAATTTTAAGATTAGGGCATTGGGTTTATATAAACAAACACCATAGCTAATTAGCTAAGAAATTCCAATTAAATCCTATTCCCACTTACAACATATATAAAAACCTTGCGTCTTACTTTCAATAAAACTTATCTGAATTGCATTTCTCTGATAAAATAAATACAGTAATAGAATTCAATTCTCTCAAGGAATAAAATAGTATTCTCAAATCTTTAAAACTTAACATTCGCATATTGAATCCATCCCTTTATTCACCCTAATTCATTCATTCGAGTTGACGGAAGGTCAACAGATTGAAAAGTATGCTAGGCAGGGATATGCCGGAACCAGTCCACCATCCAAACCGGTTAATGGTTGGATTATCCAGATCAAGCAAACAGATAAGCTAGCGGCACATGAAAATCTCAGATAAGTATAATTCAATCAATTGCTCAATTCGGAATTATTGGAAGATTACTTATAATAACTTCGTTGTTGGATTGAATATAACGATTAGTTACCACAGTCAGATAACGCCCCATCAAAAGCAAGAAGCGAGATTCGCAAGACGAACAGACCAAACACTGTGAGG